TCAAAATCTTACCAAAAATGGAGGACTGCAGCCATGAAATGCACCTCCCTTTCCATACACCTCTAAACTACATAGTTTTAATAAAATCCATTAAAATGTTTTTCCTTCTCTCCAGTGTTTTGAAAACCTGACCGGATTAATCGAAAATTGTTGTCTAGTCCGGTTCAATCTACACCGGTTGAATCGTTACTAGTCAACCGATCGGAACCGCTAAACCGTTCGAACCGGACCAACTGAAAACCGGAAAAAAACGTCAATTTTGTTTTTTTTTTTAAAAAATTAAACCAAACAACGTCGTTTGTTAAACGAGCCAAGTCGAACTCAAGTATTGCTGAGCTCGACTCGAACTTGAAAACTTTAAAAGTAAGCTCAACTCGACTCAAACTCACTAGCTAAAAATTATCAAATTCAACTCGAACTCGAAATATAATATTGAAACTTGAACTCAAAAAGGCTTGAACTAAAAAAAATTTTAGAAGCTCGATTGAAGTCTAAAATTTGAGTTTGATTGAAGTGAAAGAATAATTCAATCAATGCTCACCAAAAGACTCCATGATTTTGAATGTCAAATTACCTCTATTATTTATAGAAGTTAATTGGGATGCTCTTCTATGTTTCTTAGCCGTGTGAGATTGTTTTTTTCTCATATTTTTACTCTTTAGACTTTTGGGATGTTCTTTTATGTTTCTTAGCCATGTGAGATTGTTTTAAAAAAAAAATTAAACCAAACAATATCATTTTGTTATGATTTTTTTTAATCCCAAATTTATTTTTTAATTATAGTTATATAATTATATTTGTTATTTAATATGTTTTACCTTAAATATTATGTTGTAGTTAATTTGAATAATTTTGTTTCACTTGATTTTATGATTTTTAACTTATATATGTTATTACTTACTTTGAATATGACTTATGATATAAATTTTTTTTTATTAAATATTTTTAATAATTTTATTTAATTTTTTAAATAATTATAACGTCGTTCTATTCTTTCTGAAAACCATGATTCTCCCGCGAATCATTTTATTAATTCATTAAGCCTTCATCATGAGCTCTGTAGAAAAAAGGATGCTTCATCGGCAGGTTGTCGAAGCCAACGACCACCGCATCGGTCATCGTCACCGATCTCCGTTTAAGATCTAAAATGCATTATCGGAACCTTATCACTCTCCACGTCATGGATCTGACCTCCATTCGTCGAGAACCCCCATGGTTGGTTGTGTATCTATCGAAAAACCATACGATTTTCTCAAAACAACTCACTGGTTTGCCTCCTATGACCGTCCGATGAAGCCAAGACTGAGCTATTTTTTCCTCGTTGTCAAACCGATCTTCCCACCACCTAGATCTTCTAAACGACACCCTAGTTACTAGGAAAAGAAAAACCACCTTCACTGGTTGTTTCCCTTTCTCATTGCTATTATTATTATTATTGCTATCGATTACTAGAGTTGCCACTTTATAAAGCTCGATATGGTTAAAAGTTTTAGGTTGTTGAACCAGAGGAGAGACGATCGCCTCCACTGCTCGCTATTGTTGTCGGAGATCTCTACTGGTTCGATTAGTTCACCATGGTTGTTGTTAGAAAGTTAATCAGAGGCTGCTGGATAAATCCTGACCGGAGCTAAGTTCATTGTTGGTCAGATCTACTATTACGGTGGTTTGACAGATTCATAGTTTTGGGTCACGTTAATTGGTTTAATCTGATGGAATTTTTAAAAGAGAAGTGTTGGTTTGAACTTGGTTCCCATTATCCCCATTATCCATTTTAAATCCGAACTTTTCTTTAAATATCTTATAATTTGTGGCCTTTCTTTATTTTGACTAAAATAATATTTATTAGTCAAATCTAAATCAATTCAATATCAATTTCTGGATTCTCTAGAATATCTTAAATTAATAATGATCAAGCAAGGACAAACTATACTCAAGGTCCCCAATTCTTCATAATATTTCTGATGAGCCCAAAAAAATTAATTAAACTGTTATTTCAAACTTCCTAAGAAATCTAATCTCAGATTAGGGTGTGACACAGAGGAAGAGGTAGGGCTGCTCATCGCAATCCATGGACGATGGGGCTTGAACAGACGGGGGCTCAGGAGGATCAAGGGGTAGGCCATTATGGCGGCGATGTTTTTTAGGGTCTCTAGGATTTTCCAAGTTGCTGGTGAGAGCAGGAAAAATCAAGGGGAGGGATATAGGGGATTTTCAGAGCTTTCCATTACACACAGTATAATTTAGTTTTTAATTTTTGTTATGTATTTGATTTGCTTGTGTTGTGCTACATACTTGATTGCATACACGTTTATTTACATAATAGTTAATCTGGTGAGAAACTTATGATTTATCTATGAGCTTCGGCATTGCAACAACATGACATGTCTGAAAAAGTACATGATGAGGAAAGAAAAAATGTTTTGAGCATGGTAGAGAGTTAATGAGATGATAGAACAATAGGTTGAGTTTCTTTTGTAGGTCTGTTTTTTATCCAGTTTCCGCTTACAAAATTGATTTTGGGTGTTTTGAGGTGCTACAAGACTGTTGGTTTATTCTGCATTGGCTCATAACCACATTTGATTTGCCGTGAGAAAAAAAAAAGCAGTAATTTATACACCTATTATGGTACTATCTATATGCTTCTGATACGACGCATATTAAATATTTGTATGAAATGATTAATGAATGGTTCCGTTTAAATTTTAACATATGAAGCATGTAGGTTTCCACAACGTAATAATGTATCATTAAATCAGAATAATATTTATACTCATATAGCTATTTACTTGACTTTCACTGATTGTCAAACGTATAGAAATCTCTCTTTTGAAAACCGGATCGGATCGGTCGGTTCAACCGGTTCAACTGGGAACCGTTGCTTAGTCCGGTTTAATCTAAACTGGTTAAATCGCTATTAGTGAACCGGTCAGAACCGCTGAACCGTTCGAACCGGAACGGCTGAAAACCGGAAAAAACCGGGATTTTTGTTTTTTTTAAAAAAAAATTAAACCAAACAACGTCGTTTGTTAAACAAGCCAAGTCGAACTCGAGTATTGCTGAACTCGACTCGAACTTGAAAACTTTAAAAGTAAGCTCAACTCAACTCAAACTCACAAGCTAAAAATTATCAAGTTCAACTCAAACTCGAAATATAATATTGAAACTTGAACTCAAAAAGGCTTGAACTCAAAAAAAAATTTAGAAGCTCGATTGAAGCCTAAAATTCAAGCTTGATTAAAGTGAAAGAATAATTCACTAAATGCTCACTAAAAGACTCCATGATTTTGAATGCCAAATTACCTCTATTATTTATAGAAGTTAGTTGTGATGCGCTTCTATGTTTCTTAGAAATGTGAGATTTTTTTGTTCTCATATTTTTACTCTTTAGACTTTTGGGATGCCCTTCTATGTTTCATAATCATGTGGGATTGTTTTTAAAAAAAAAAATTAAACCAAACAATATCATTTTGTTATGATTTTTTAACCTAAAATTTATTTTTTAATTATAGTTATATAATTATATTTATTATTTAATATGTTTTACCTTAAATATTATGTTGTAGTTAATTTGAATCATTTTGTTTCACTTGATTTTATGGTTTTTAACTTATATATGTTATGACTTGCTTTGAATATGACTTGTGATATAAAAAATTATTTTTTATTAAATATTTTTAATATTTTTATTTAATTTTTTAAATAATTATGACGTCGTCCGGTTCTTCCGACCGGTTGGACCGATTCTACCGGTTAAACAAGTAAACCGGTAGCATGACCGATTCGCTAATCGATCCGATTCTGAAAACCATGATTATAATGAAGTTCTGAATAATTTTTAGTAGAATCTTTGCACAATCTCTACTTCTTTGAATATAACTTGATATTTTGTAACAGAAGAGAAAGTGAAGTATGCTTGTTCATCTCTTTAAATATAATTTGATCTTTCGACATACTTGTAGAAATAAATTATTGTGCTTTATATATAAAATATATTTTTATAATAATAAATTTTGAAAACTGTTTCAGAAAAATTAATTAAACAACGAAAAATATTTTACATTATAATATTCAAATTCTAAAAATATATATTTTTTTAAATGTAATTTATTTTCAATAATTTAATTTATAAAAAATGTTTTCAATAAAATAAATAGGCATCACATGACCGTTGCATTTACAGGAACACATTAAACAGATGGGTGTCTTTTCATGGTCGCGTCTTCTTCTTTATTTACTGTGCTTTTAGGACAAATGAGTTTAGAGTTTCTAGGTCTTACGTGTATTTATTTTAATTTTTAAATGTTAGTTCAGATAATTATTATCAAATTACTTTTTTTTTTAAAAAAAAAATCAGCGATCAAAATGAGCTATACAAAAAATAAAAGAAACCATTCATAGTTTACACATAAAATAATAATAATAATAATAATAATATATTCAGATAAATTACACAATAGGCCCCTACATTATTGATAAATTTACAATTGAATTATTATATTTTAAAAAATATATAACGCAATTATAGTGCAATACCAATTGTAGTATTTTATTATAACTGGAGCACTATCTCTCCTTCAAAGTAATGATGGGCTGAAGCATCATCTCTATTTTAAAGTCGAGATTTTCTTCAAGGGTTAGATCATTATGCTGCTAGGCTACATCTCATGTGGTCGATCGGGTAAATTTATATTTTGATACTTCGATTGCGAGTAAATTTACATCTTTGATCAATCAACTTTTAATCATGAGTAAATTTACCTGAATAGATTGAAAAAAGAAATTTGAACACCAAAATAAAAAACCAGTCTGAAACAGAAGAGTATGCAAAAGATAGAGAAAATAAAATCTTCTGAAACTCTTCAGCTCAGGTCTCCATAATTTTTCAGCATATGTTAGCTCAGGAGAACGACAGAAGCTTTCAAATCCTAATTCCAGAAAATAAATAAATATATATATATATGCATATATACGCTTGTACAAATTCGACGGATAAAATTGAAATCTCCTCAGTTCAGGTCTCCAGAAATTTTCCGCATGGACTTTCTCGGAAGAACGAAAGTTTCTATTTTCAATCATCATCGGAGCTAAACATGAAAATAATATCAATAAAAGAGGAAGAAACACATAAAAATGATATCACATAGCCGAAAAACAACAATTTCTCTTCCGCTCAAGTCTCCATATAGGCTTCTTAATCCATTTCTTTTTCTCTCCGAAAATTTTCTGAAAATTTTTGCAGATTCAGAGAGCATTTTTGTTATCGATTTAAAACTCGATACACTAAAAATTCTGACAATTAAAAAAAGGCGAAAACCTAGTTTTGAACAAATACGAAAGTATATGTGAAGAGCAGGACAAAGAATAATATTAAGAAGCTTAAGGTAGAGCTAACGGATTAGCGATCCGCCGATAAGATCTGATTTGAGGAGAAACGTTTTTATAGGCCTCGACAACCAAATAACAAAACCCTAGTCCTTTCAAATTAGGGTTTTATGTTATTGGGCTTGAGCGTCCACTACATTGCTTAATATTAGGGTTTGAGGTGAGGGTAATTTTTTTTTGAATAATTTAAAAATATCAGTTTAAAAAAAAAAATTCAGTTGAATTGTATTTATCTCTAATTTGGAGATTTTAGGTTGACGAACAGTGTTGACTTCTTTAGTAAATTGATCTTTAAATAGTACTTCATTCTTTAAATAGATTGAAAAAATCTCATTTCAAATTCGAACCAAAGATGTAGCATAAATAAATTGAAACTTAACTAAGCATGGATCAGGGGTGGAGTTAGAAAAAAAAATTAGGTATCAAATTTAGAAATTATATGAAGAATTTCTTGAGTGAAAACAAATTAAATTTTGATTTTTTATTGTTAAATACTTTTTAAAATAAGAGGTCAATTTTTTAAAGGATGTTAAAACATTTCTAAAAGGGGTGTTATTTTTTTCTTTTATATTATATATTATATATGGGTAAAAATAAAGTTTTGAAACTTTTGGGTGTCAATTTTGCAGAACTAAATTAGGGGGGCTAGTAGGGCCATGGCCCCACAAAAAATTAAAAATATAATTAATCCTTTAAATTTTATCAAAAAAAATTAATTTAACTCCCTCGAAATTTCTAAATTTTTTTATTAAACTTTAAAATTGTTTAATATTCTTAATTAAATTTTTCCCATAAATTTTGAAAATTCTCATTAAACCTATTAAAATTTTAAAAAATTCAGTTAAATCTTACTTTTTTGAAAAAAGTAAACTAAACTCTTCAGAATTTTAACATTTTTAATTTAAACCTCCAATTTTTTTTTTTAATTTTAAGTTGTTCCTTCCAAATTCTATGACCAAATTTCGTCACTCTCCCTTAATATATACCGGCTTCGCCAGTGGCTTAAACCAACCATCATGGTTAAAATATTAGAAGTGTTGAAATCGAGATCGACAGCCAAAACGTGGTTAAAATTCTTAACGTCCATATAAGGATGCATGAACCAACCATCGTTCGACGTATTCGCCGCCTACTGGAGCTACAGTGGACCGTCAAAATATCCCATTTTAGTCGAGATGCTAATGTTGCTGCTGATAGCATCGCTCACATCGATCTGAATGGTTGCTTGGGACTCGCTATTCATCACCAACCCCCCAGAAATCTGCACAACATTCTGAATGTTGCTGCTGCTTTAAACAATCGCAACACCCACTGCTAGGCTAGTGGTTTTCTTGTAACCAAACAAAAAAAAACTTAACTAAGCATGAAAATCAAACTCACTTTTTACTAAGGTAAACACTTTTAGTTAAAAAAATTCGTTTTAACCATAAAATCAATGTCAAATTAATAAAAAATGGAAAAAATATTATAGAAACGGTGGTTTTAAACCAACCACAAAAGTTATGGTTTCTGGCTTTTTCATTTTTAACTTTGAATTTGGAAACAAATTATAATTTTACCCTTACTAATGCATAGGCTACACTCAATTATGTATTTATATTTTATTTTAATAATTTAATATTAACATCCTTAAAAATAATTTATTACTTAATAATTTATTTTAATTACTTAAAAGTAAATAAAATCCATGGTTTGTATATTAAAATATTAATAGTGAGTTATTATAAAATATAATTTTATTATAATTATATTTTTTTTGAATTCTTTATATTTTTATTATAATTTAAATTGATATATTTCATATATATATATATATATAATAATTTCATTTGAATCTATTTATAATCTATTTCTTTTATTTTGAATGGTTAAAGGGATAATTATATCATTTAAATTATGTTATTTTATATGAGTGATTGTGGTTAAATTAGAATAATTAAAATATTATCTTAAAATTCAATTGTTAAATGAGTGATTGTGGTTAAATCAAAATAATTCAAATATTATCTTAAAATTCAAATATTAACTAAGTTACCTTAAAAAGTATATATTTTATTGTAGTTTAAGTTTATATATTTTTATATATAATAGTATTAATAAATATAAATATAATTTAAATTATATATTTTTAATTTACAACATAATGTCTATAATGAACATTTTATCTTTTTTTTAAAGTCATGATTAATTAATTAATGTAATCACCAATTTTCAACCCAGTATCAGACCCAAGGTTCGACCCGGGACTGACCCGACCTGGTAGGCCACCGATTTCTCCACTACCACTGCTTTCTCCACCAACAGACAGCCACAGATGGATCCATAACAAAAACAAAACTTTTTCAATTATTTTGAAAAAAACAAGAAAAAGAAGGAAAAACAAAGAAAAAATGTACAAATCAGACTATATAAACCCGAACAAAAAAAATGTAAGGGGGATTTTTTCATTTTTTCTAAGAGCAATGTAATCAGATTTTTTGAGAATGCAATGAAATTTTTTTCTTCCCAATCGAAATCGAGAAAACACTTCCAAAGATAACATTCAATTTTTTTTACTTTTGTTTCATCTTCATTTCATTTTTTTCAAAGCAGCCAAAGAAACGAAAGGAAATAAAGAAAGAGGAAAAGGCTTTACCTCGGTGTCGAAGTTCTTTTGGCTTTCGGGGTCTCCATTGCCAAATCGAAACCGTGAGGAGAAGCGCACGAAGGAGGTGAACAATATATCTTAAAACCGCCTCGATCTGACAATGGGCATTAGAGATCAGTGCTATTGAAGCCGGATGGTCTCGGTTTTGTTGCAGGGAGTTGAGGACCTTTTCTCTCAAAATAGAACCCTGATTTGAGTTCACAATGCCAAGATGAGTAGACTGGTAAAATTTGGTGGCCATCGACCATCGGATACGGCGGCAGTGCGGCGGCTGGGACGATGACAGATGATGAATAGGACGGGCGTGGACGTTTGGGTTTAGAGAGAAGAGAGAGCTTCTCTCTCTACCCAAAATCAAAACAATAAAACAAAAATAAAATTTGAGAAATAAAAGAGGGATTTCACCTATTTATAAGTAAGCCGAAACGACGTCGTTCGAAATGACGTCATTTTGGGATCTGCCTGAGGGCCTGAAACGGCGTCGTTTTACTTGATGTTGCACGTTTGGACCGGGGGATAATCACGTGTGCAGCCATTTCAGTTTTCTCTCGTGTTCACTTTGGTCCCCCATTTCAGATTATTTCACTCATTTTCAAATATTTTGTCCTTATTTTGTTATTTTACCATTTTAAGTATTTAATACTGACATTTTGGCTTATTTTCGTACAAATCCCTCTAACTTTATGCGCATTATCCACTTCGGTCCCTGGTCTATTTTCTTTTATTTTAGTCTCGAAATTTATGTCCTTATTGTATGATTTTTCTTTTTTTATTAATATTGGCTAAGATAAATAACTGGTAGAATTGCATTGTTGATCCCTATATTTAGTATCAGGCGCCTTAAACTCTAGTGATAGACTGGCTATTTAGCTAGTGTTGATCATTGTGCCCTATGTTTAATGTCAGATTCTTTTAATTAGGGTGATAGATTTGTTGATTGACCCACGTGTGTTGTTGTGTCTTATATATATTTTATGTATGAGTACATTTACTCATATGGGTGAGTTTGGTTCACGGAATGTAAGATTACCAGTGGGAATAAAAGATTACTAGGGAATAGGATTACTGAGAATGTTGTATTTTGTGTTTTGTTGGTTTAGCAAGAATGTAAGATTACCGTGTTTGGTTACAGGAATAAAAGATTAATCGAATGTATATTTTACCAAATTGTCCATATTATATATTTGTTTTTTTAACAAGTTGAATTTTACTATAATATTACTATAATTAATTTATATATTTTCTTTAAAAAATTTAAATTCATAAAATTTATATAATTTTGTTTACAAAATTGAAAAGATAAATAGGTTTAATGAAAGCGTAAAATTTTATCTTAACCCATTAACTTCATATAAAATTTTAATTATAGATTTTTTTTGTAATTCTAAAATAGTTTAAGGATAAATTTATAATTTAACTTTCGTAGAATTTTTATTATTCAACGACAGAAGAATGATATTTTTGAAAAAAAAATTTAAGGGCATTTTAGTCCAAAACGCCGGTAATCTAACAATACCTAAGGGAAGGGGGTAATCACATTCCCTGTAATATACCCAAAAAAATCCACTGTTGGTAAAAAAGATTACCAGAAGCTTTGAAGATGATACAGTACCCAGATGCTCGTAGGAACTGGACAACTTACAGATGGACCAGATCTTCACTTCCTCAGTATACTGAGACATTGTCGGTTTTTCGAGAATTATTCTATGAACAATTATTTTGGGATCAATTCCTTGTTGCATTTGCATCTTGCATTTTGCACTCCAATTTTTTTTGCATCTTTTCATTTGCATGTTCATTTTTCATCTTTGCATTAACATATATACATTGTACATTATATGATGTACATTGCATCTCAACATGCATTAATCACGGGTCCTAAGAGTAACTCGTGGAGAGTCTTGCAATAAAAGTTTCGAGGTTAGATGAAGTTATCCCACTTGTACCAAGAAAGATTGAGAGCTATGGATGTGATGCTATCACCATCTGAAGATCAAGGCCTCATTGAGAATTGTGGGGCATTGAAGCGCAAGATCCAGAATCTGATTGATTCAGGG